TCAGTCCAGTCTGAAACAGATGATAGACGTAAGGACATCGGACACTGTAGAAAACCTGCCGTCAAAGGAGAAGCAACCAACCCAGAGCCATAGACAGCGTCAAGGAACATCTATAGAGATGAGTTAGGCGAGCCAGGAGATAAACACTGACGCGCCAAGCAAGGTCAAGGTGCCAGACCCAGGCCAAGGCCATATGATTCAGAAAGACATTGACCAACCAGCAACACCCACAGAGTCGGGAACCAGGGACGCCATCTTTGTGCCCTCTCTGAGCCATCCTACAGGCTACAACCAACCCAGGTTTACCAGGTATCCAAGGTAACTGTGTGAATTCGGTTTTGGCTACTAATGGTGATTGTGCTATCCCTACAGACACTACAACCGAGAACCAATATCACAGAGAGCCCCAGAATACTAAAGGTGCCCAAACTGACGGGGTAGCAAGTGATGTGGTGGGGGGGGGGGGTTGCAGTAATTGATGTTGTAGGGGATTGCAGAGAAGATGTTGTAAGGAAAACAAGGGTAGTAGAAGGTAGAGGGAAAGAAGCTGAGGATCATGGGGAGGGTGAATCTGATGAGGAAATAATGCTAAGGAAATGAGCTGAGAAGATGGGGCTAAAAATTTCATAGTTAGGCCTGGACAAGACTCAGAAGAAGGAGTTGTCTGAAGGGGGAAAACCAGGTAAGAGGCAGGTAAGGGAGTTGAAAAACAGAGAAGAGGGTGGGGCAAGAGGGTGAAGGATGGTGGGATAGGTGGAAGGAGAGGTTGAAAATAAAAGATAAGATAGGGATGAATGACGTGATGATGAAATGAAGATTATAAGTTGGAATGTTAGAGGACTAGGGAGGGTAGCAAAGAGAAGACTCATAAAGGAAGTGTTAAGGAGAGAAAAGCCAGATGTGGTGATGCTCCAAGAATCTAAGGCACAAGAGATTGATAGAAGGTGGGTAAAGAGTGTCTGGAGAGGCAGAGACATTGGATGGACCATGGCCTCGTCGTGTGGTGCCTCAGGAGGAATAGTCACTATGTGGAATGAGAATACAATGAAATGTGTGGAGGAATTAATAGGTAGGTTCTCAGTGTCAATAGAACTGTAGAATCTGGATGATAATTTTAACTGGGTGTTGACAAATGTTTATGGGCCTAATTCGTATAGGGAAAGAAATTAGATGTGGGAAAACTGGCAGATGTGAGAGGTTTGTGGCAAGGCTCGTGGTGCTTAGGGGGGAGGGGACTTTAATATGATCAGACATATTGCTGAATCGAATAATCCGAGACAAAGGATAACCACTAGCATGAAAAGATTTAATGATTTTATAAACACATTTGAATTGAAGGAAATCGGGATTGGACAATACAAATATACCTGGACTAATTGTCAAGAGAACCCGATGTGCTCAAGGCTCGATAGGTTTCTTGTGTCTTGCGATTGGGAGAAACATTGGATTAACATGGTGGGTAGGACACTACCCAGGGTCACCTCTAGACCTATTTACAGGCCAGGCTTCGGGCCCAATTTTACATTGTATCGGGTTCGGTCTTCGGGCCGGGCCCATTAGAATTTTGACAAAAGCCAAGCCCGAGCCCGGCCCATGAACAGGTCTACTCACCCCAGATCACTGGTTGATATGTATTGGACAAGGGATAGACGGGGAAGGGCCGACGCCCTTTAGATTTGAGAACATGTGGTTAATAGTCCTAGTGTTTGTGCGAAAGGTTGAGGAGTGGTGGAAGGAAGATAACCCCCAGGCTATGTGGGAAGGGATTAGATTCTATAGGAAGCTTCGGAATTTAAAAGTAAAAATCAAGGAATGGAATCTTAATAAATTCGAAAGGTTAGAAGAGAGGAAGGCTAATCTAATAAACAGAATTGAAGAAATAAATAAGAAGGAATCAGGTTCATTGGTTGCAGGGGAAAGAGATGAGAGGTTTAATTTAAGAAAAGAGCCAGAATCCACACTCCTTAGAGAAGAAATGACTTGGAGGCAGAAATCAAGAGTGTGTTGGATCAAAGAAGGGAATGGGAACACAAAATACTTTCACATGATTGCGAACAGGAGAAAAAGGAAGAATCTTATTTCTACGTTAGAATTGGAGGATCGCACAATAACTAATCATGATGAGATTGCAGAGGCTTTGGTGGATCATTTTAAATCAATCTTACGAAGGCCTATTTCAGGAAGATGGAAGTTGGAAGGTTTAGATTGGCCAATCCTAGAAGATGTCGTTAGTAGGAGCTTGGAGAGAAATTTTGAATTAGATGAGGTGAAGGAAGCAATTTTTTCTATGGATCGCTCTAAAGCTCCCAGGCTCGATGGATTCACTATGGATTTCTACCAAGATTGTTGGGGGAGTGGCTAAAGGATGATCTAATGCGAGTCTTTGAGGAGTTTTATGATAGAGGGATTGTCAGTAAAGGGGTAAATGCCACTTTTATTGCGTTGGTCCCCAAGAAATTTGGTGCTTGCCACCCCAAGGATTTCAAGCCAATCAGTTTGGTGACAAGTCAGTACAAAATCCTTGCAAAAGTCCTCTCCCTTCGGTTAAAAAAGGCCCTCCCATCAATCATATTTCAATTCCAAGGGGCCTTCATCCAAGATAGACAAATATCAGATTAAATACTCATTGCCAATGAGTGTGTGGAGGATTTCAAGATAGTAGGAAGGAAGGGCATTGTATGTAAGCTGGATCTATAGAAAGCCTATGACTTGGTGGACTGGGAGTTCTTAATTGGAGCATTAAGGAAGTGTGGTTTTGGAGCAAGATGGTGTAAATGGATTAAAGGATGCCTACAATCTTCTCACTTCTCAGTGTTGGTAAATGGTGCAGTCAAGGATTTCTTTGGTGCCCTAAGAGGAGTGAGACAAGGGGACCCTTTATCCCCTTTCCTCTTCACCATTTTAGCTAAGGTCTTGAGCAGATTGATCTCGAAGGCAGAGGAGATAGGTTTGTTAAAGGGTTGGAAAGTAGGAAGGGAGAGGGTGGTTTTAACTCATCTACAATTCGCGGATGACATCATTATTTTTTGTGAGGCTAGAGATGAGTTAGGAGCAAGAAACCTAAGAATGTTGGTAAAACTCTTTGAAAAAATGACAAATTTGAGAGTGAACCTTAATAAGAGTCAGGTGCAGGGATCAATTTAGCACAAGAAGATGTTAATGTGTGGGCTAAGGAGCTAGGATGTTTAAGAAGTGATTGGCCACTCAAGTATTTAGGCCTCCCCTTTGGTGGAAATCCCAGAAGCATAGGTTTTTGGAATCCATTGTGGAAAGGTTTGAAAAGAAACTCGTTGCATGGAAGAGGAATTATATTTCTCTAGGGGGAAGGATTACTCTTATTAAGTCTACCCTAGCAAACCTTCCAATTTACTACCTCTCGGTGTTCAGCATACCTCAAGCTATGGGAAAGAAACTAGAGAGAATAATGAGGGACTTTTTGTGGGAATCAAGCGAGAAGAAGAAAGATCACTTAATAAGATGGGATCTAGTATCTAGGAGGAAAGAATTTGGAGGATTGGGGTTAGGAAGGTTGAAGGAAAATAACGAGGCTCTACTAGGAAAGTGATTATGGAGGTACCCACAAGAAACAGACAAGTTGTGGCACAAGATTGTGACTAGTATTCATGGGCTCTCTGAAAATGGTTGGGATGTTGGAGTGTCTTACAGGGTTTCTAGTGCTTCACAGTGGAAAGTGATTCACAAACTCCTCCCATTGTTCCTCAATCATGTCAAGTTTGATCTCAACTCAAGTAACGAGGTTAAATTTTGGGAAGATGTATGGGTGGGTGACTCTTCTTTAAAGACCTTATTCCCATCAATTTATGCCCTGTCCTGCCCTAAGGGCAAACCGGTTGCTGATTTCCTATCCCCTTCTTCATAGTCTGGTTTTGCTTGGAATCTGGGTCTCCGCAGAAATGTGCGAGACTCGGAGTTGGATTTGGTGTCTTCTATTATTCATCTGCTTGACCAGGTCTTTATTGACCCTACTAAGCAAGATACTAGAATCTAGATTCCTAACCCCCTTGGAGCTTTCAGTTGTGTGTCCTTTTTCAAAACCTTGACATCTTTTCAACCTGGGGTCCAATTTCCAGTCTGAGAAGTCTGGTGTCGCCCTATTCCCCCTAAAGTAGGTGCTTTCTGTTCGGAGGTTTACCATGGTGCAATTAACACCTGTGATCTGATGCAGAGGAAGAGGCTCGGTTGGTGTCTTTCACCTAATTGGTGTTGTTTGTGTGAATCTAATGGTGAAACTACTCTTCATATTTTACTGTGGATGATAATCAGGAACTGGAGGATCCTCGTCATCTGCAAAAAAGAAGGCAGTAAGAATTGGGATCCTCCTGAATCTGGATTCGTCAAATTAAACTTTGATGGGAGCAGTTTTAGCAACCCGGGCATGGCTGGAATTGGTGGGTCATAAGAGGTGACATGGAGAGTGTAGTGGGGCTGTTTCCTGGCCCTATTGGGTGGGGAGACTCCATTACCGCTGAACTAAAAGCAATGGTCTTCGGAATACAAAAAGCCATGGAAATAGGTGTGAGAAAGTTGTTTACAAAAGGCAACTCCAAGTGATTATAAGTTGGCTAAAGCAGGATGGAAAGACTCCGTGGGTATTCAGAAATGAGATCAAGAAAATTAATCACATTGCAAAGGATATGCAGTTATTATTTCAGTGGACTCCAAGAGTAGCAAATGGGTTTGCAGACCAGCTAGCAAAGCAAGGGGCTAATAGGGAACATTGTTTTTGGGCTCTGTTRTAAAATTGTAAAGCAAATCTTAGGTGGAATGTTATTGGACATTGGGGTAGCTGAGGCTACCCAATCTCTGTACTAATTCCCATATCATTTTATTAATAAAATCACTTTCGCTGATCAAAAAAAAAAAAGGTAGAGGATAATAAGAGCAAAAATAGATAAACCATTGAACCATTTGGAGATGTAAACAAATACAACGGAATATGAAACACTGGAATGGAAGTGAAAAATAAACAAGGTACTGACCTTCGTTGTTGTCAGATAATATCTTTCTTTGTGATCTTGATCTTCTCACTTTCTTTTTCCTTTTGGCAATGACAGGATTATGCTGGCTATCCAACTCAACTGTTGCGGAAGTCACATGCACTACTTGTGTATTGCTAGTGCAAGCTTCTTCGGAAACAGCTTTAGTAAGATCAGTGGTCAAACTGCAGTAGGTCCAGATGCAGATACATGTCAATAAAATTGACTTGTGGATTCATGTTCAAATAAAAGTTCGAGTTATATATTATACCAATTAGCAGTCAATGATCAAGAAAGTTTTTCTTGATCAAATGATCAAGAAATTTGAGATACTGGACATGAAGTGAAAACATAACTTTCAAACCAAATTTTGACTCACTTGATTTCTCACCCCTCATCCACCTAATTACAACTTCATCAACTGACATGGGAATGATAAGGAATTTTTTCAACCTTTATGTATTTTTTGTATATTCAGACATTAGGAGTATTTTTTATCAGTTTACATGTTGCCTATGGAATCCAACTTGGTTTTTTGATTTGTATAGTCACAATTTATTAAGAGTCATTGGTTAAGTAGTTCAAAAGTTACCAAGTTTTCTTTGAGTTAAAAGTATGATAGCAGCAATTCTGTAATTTCAATTTTCTTAGTTCTAGCAGAATTGTTTGGTAATAAAATAAAATTTATTAAAAGAAAGAAGTTACAAAAGAAATTTTTTTCTCAGTTTTAGTAGAACTGAGGGTCATTGCTTGGTAATAATGGTAAGATCTCGGGCTGACAACTTGACAAGCATGAGAATGTGGGTTCAAGCATAAAAACCACCATTTTGTGCAAAAAATCCCCCAAGGATAGGTCTGTAGCCAGTCTACCCTCCCAAAACCCCAGATAGCTGAGACCAACATGGGTATATGGATGTGTGTATTTAGGCAAAAACTAGCAAATGATATTAGGTGATTTTTTAGGCATACATTGTGTTTATGGTGACTGATTCCCATAAACCCTAGAGTGATTCTAGATCCCTGTTGAGTAATTCTAGATTTCTCTCTTCCTTATTTCTACTTTCTCTCTAGCTCTGGAAGGAGTTTATTACAAATATGAACAATCCACAAATTCTTAATTAAAGGAGTTTATTCAAATCACTAAAAAACTGAAACTGATCCAAATATGTTTTTTCTTTAGAAGGGCAGCCCAGTGCACGACGCTCCTTAGGGAGGGATAGATGTATGCAGCCTTACCCCTGCACATACAGAGGTGTTTCCAAGATTTGAACCCTGGTCACCCAGGTCGCAATGAGGCAACCTGACCACTACGCCAAGGCCCACCCTTATTTTAGTTATATTTGCATGCCATGAATAAGTCTATCAGCTTTCATCCCACCAGTTTTATTTTAAAACTCCATAAAAAATTCTGGTTTACAATTTTTGGTTGCTCCTCTCACAGATGCTTTGAACTTATACAGCCCCACACAATCACTAAACGCTTCCTAGCTCAACATTACCTTCGCAAATTCATCCTTGGTGGCTTGGTCATACCTGTCCTACATTAATATCAGAGCAACCAGTCCTACATTAGTTGGTATCAACGATATTGGTCCTACATATTCCTCAAAAAAAAAAAGAAAAAAAAAAAGGATAGCAATCCTACATATAGGGACAGCTAGTGTTGAGGATATGAAGGGGTAGGCTAGAGAGGATTATCAATTTATCCATGTCAAGTATAGCAGGCTGGTACCAAACTAACTATATATGGATCTCCTGCACTTCCATTTCTTACTTATTCTTTAATAGTCTCTTTGATCTTTATCAATCAAAAGTAGACGAAGAATCCAAAACATACTGCCAAGAAATCAGCATCTAAGACTTAAAATATTTTATCGTTGTTACTGCATAGTTTCTTGATCTCCCAAGAGGTAACTTTCCCACGTCTGTCTACATGAGCATAGACATTATGATGAATCCATGACTATAGACTGATTGTATATTTGCCATGGAGGAAAGCTCTTCCTCTTTTTAATAGATAGAAAAAAAAAAAGTACTGCCAAGAAGTTAGCATCTAAGACTTAAAATATTGTTATCATTGTTACTGCATAGTTTTTTATCTCCTCCCAAAAGGTAACTTTCTCACATTTATTTACATGGGCATAGAGATCTGGTACATCTCTTTTACTTTTTAGGGTTTATAGAAGTAAAGTGCAAACCACTTCTCAGAGTTTCGAAAGAGTTGGCTACTCAAGTGGCTAATCAGCTAAAGACCATACTTTGCATTGATATGTACAGCAATTGATTTGAAAATCACTAATTGTATGTGGTTGTGTGAGGGTATATAAAATAGAAAAAGAAGGCCAAAAATAAAAGAGACAACAATGGARGAGTTCCTTTAGGTTTTCTCCAAAAGGTATCAAGGTTGCGTAAATACTCTCTGAAAAGAAAAACACTACGACTCCCTATCTCAGCCTATCTATCCTTCCCTCTATGCTTGCAAAATAGAGACCATATATGTTCCATATGAAATCTTCTATCACATAGATGCAGTCTTTAGTAATTTTTGTATCTGAGATTGCACCATTATATAACATTTACAAATATACTTTTTGTGGTTGATTGGCCAATGCCTAGGCAGCAACTAGTAACTGCTTCATCCCAATGAGAACAATGTCATTCTATAGGTTTAGTCACACAGACACACCCTAATTGATTTTTTTACTTTCCAAACCACATCAACACTTAATTATTACTAATCTTCAAAAAACACAAATAAGGCTTAAAAATATGAAAAACAATACCATAAGAAGACTATTTCAAAAGCAAACCTGTAAATATGATTCTGGGGGTCTGATGATGAAGAAACGGGAACTTTGGCAAAGTTCCCATTGGTCTCAAAGCAACTAGCTAACCCAACTAATTCGTCTAAATGTCCAGAGCTGCAGCTTACAGTAGGTGGAGACATGCTGGACACAAAATCGCCAGCAGCAGGCTCCAGTTCATATGACACTTCACATAGTGGATGACTTGATAATTTATCCTCATTCTCGACTTTCTCAAGCAGGTCAGTTTTATCTTCTGAGCCACATAAGGTCGAGGTTTTGATATGATCACAAGAAAACAGAGGACCAACTTCCCCTTCAGCTGTGTTAACTGTCATTTCGGTCGATGCACTGTCAGAGAATGCTAAGTGTTCCATGCCTGGTGGTGGGTACCATGTTGATTCATGTGTCTTGTTATTATAGAAGTAGTTTCTCATATAGAAAGAATCCCAAATCACCGTCCAATCTTCTAAATTACCAAAGCTTTTACAACTAAGTTTGACATGATCAAACATATCAGAAGAGGGGTCTGATGATACAGCAGGCTCAGAAATTAATACCTGCTCTGCTCTGATGTCAACACAAAGATTTCCACCTTCTCTGTCATAGTAAGCCATAAATGAACCTTCCGAGTTTTTGCATTCCGCTGGTCTTTTGTCCATCTCCTCATCTAGTTCAAATGCTGTATTTTGTGGGACGTTTTCTGGAGAAGCTTCTGTATTTAAAGTAACTGAATGAACTCCCACCTTGGAATCATACTTTGGAACAATACTGCTGGATATGGTGTCAGAATCCATTGCCAAGTTTGCCGTTTCACCAGATAATTCCCCTGAAGTTTGCTCCTGAGCAATCGAACTGGAAATTATGGCAGTCAGGCTTGATGAATCTCCAGAGGGATAATGATGTTCATCAATACCCTCTGCAATATCATAGTATGACGTTTCACTTTGATCTAACCTTGTGCCACATAAAGTAATGTTTGTGTTATCATGCAAAGCTACAGTGGATACAGCCAGTACCTCACTTTTTCTAGAAACTTCTAGCTCTCTTTCATTTTTGTTATGACCAGACAGAGGCTTCATGCGTGCACTTTTTCTTTTCCCTTTGGGGATTGTGGCTCTCTTCTGGAACGCAATGTTTTAACATAGAAAAAAACTAAAATTAAACATCAAAAACACAATGTAACATTGTGTTGCAGAGTAATACAACATTGGTAGCATATTAAATACATTGCAACACCATTGTCGCTATAGAAACAAAAAAGGTTAAAAAAGAAAAAGAAAAATCTGGACTTGCCTCCTTGTTTGTGCCGAAGGAAACAGGAAGCCCCAAATCATTCATCTGTCTGATGAGTTCCATATCCTCTGAGGGAGTGTAATCTGAGCAGATCGCAAAGACAACATAACCACTAAAATGTAACTAATTGATCTATGGCATTGATCATTAACAAATTCTTCACAATGGTGCAAAGTAAGACCCGAAAAACAAATCATGTGGTCTCAGTACATGACTTATTAGCAAAAAAAAGTGTGACGCAAAAAAAAAATAAATAAATGAGGTGAAGGAGAATTCAAGAAGGAACACTTGCCATTAACAGTAGATTCAACCTCAGAACTACAAGCACCTTGGCAAGACGAAAACTGCGTGTAAGAATAAGTGTTTCAAAGGGTCTAAAATAAGCGCATGCATACATCAATCACTATAACTACTAAATTAGAAGGAAACCCAAAATTAGTATCGTAACACGTAAGAGAACAGCAGATCGATTCAGAAACAAACTAAACTAAGTTAAACTTTAACTTACAGCAGTTTCTGCCAAATTACCCTGACGAACAAATGAAGCGGACACCTCTGTTTCGTCTATGGGAGCATCGTCGGTCCTGTTAAATAAGAGAAATTTTAACAGCAAAACCGGGAATGAGAAAGTAAGAGACATGAAACTTTAGAACTTGAGGGAAAGGTGGACAAAACGAGTCTTCTGGAAACATCTTACTGCCCGAACTTCAAACCACACAAAATCTAGCTAGAAAAAATATGCTCTTTGCCCTAATCTGGAACTACATAAACAAAAAGCAAAAAAACAGATAGACTATAGACAGACAAAAATCACTATACCACAAAAAAACTTCAGTGAGCTTGAAAAGAAAACCCAGGGCTCTGATGGCAGGCGCCTCGACTTCGGCCTCGGCTTCCATGAATCCTCAAAGTTTCGAACTACGCGATAACGAAATTTAGGACAGCGGACAGCAGAACAACAGCGCTTATGTCGCAGTCTCGTAGGTAGATGAGCTTACTAGTTTCTATGTAATATATTGAAAGGGGCGGAATAGCGGAGGACGAAGGCCTGTCCGCCTGTATGAATTTCGAAATAAGCAAGCCCCCGGGAAGATTTTAATGTGGCGGTGACAAAAGAGAATGCATCTAATCGTCCCTATTGCTAGGCACCAATTCGAGCTCCCCACAGGCCACAGCCCCAGCACCTTTGTCGGGTCTCGGGCGGATCATGATCCGGATGAGACCGTATCCAGAACCACGGAATTAAATTGATTTGCTTATGGGAGCTTTTTCGGATCCAACAAACTTCTCAATGCACGGTAGATATGCCTGTGAGGCGCCCTGTGCGAAGAGGATATCCCGTTCCAGCTAATTTGTTTTTTTTTCTGGTAAGTGGCTAATTTATCTGTATGGAGAAGTTGCATAAAGTCGTTGCTTACTTTCTGGCATTCTGCTTAATGGACACGCATGGTATAGAATTGGTTCAAAACCCAACGCAAAATGCAGCAATTGTAATTTCTAAAGCATTTGGACCTGCTCTTTACTCGTGTCTATGTCAACTGTGTCGTGCCCTTTCATATTGAACATTGTTTCTGCACGTTATTGGCATTGGAGGTGACACCATCCTAACATATTACCACGCTCCATTTTCCCTGTCGTTTGACATTTAATGTGAATACCCCTACCCCAACCCACATGCAAGCAGGATTCGGTCCAAAGTATCCGCTACAAACAACATGAACCTTACCAACCAGCTGGTTGGCACTTGTGATCTATCAATATTTTAATATTTATTATTAAAATATATCAATGTTTATAAGTAAAATGCATATTATATTAATATTGATATATACACTATTATTAATATATATTAATGATGATAATTAATAATATTAATTTAATAATTAAAGTACAAATGTGTAGTAGTTTTGGTCCATTTGGTTTTTGGTCTTGTTTGATTGAATTTTTTTTTCAAACGGAACTGAAAACCAATATTTTTAAAATTACCAAACCGATAATCAAATAGGCTGAACTGAATTAGCTTAATTAGTTTGATTTCTAGTTAAGTTTGGTAACCAAATTTAAACACCCCTATCTCCCACATCAGCACCACTTAGGCATGTTAGAGTTTAAATGTGAAACTTTTTTGTTTGGTTGAGATTCTTTTGAGTTAAAAACGGTCATAATAAGTTTCTTCTAGAAACATAGACAGAGGGTGTTGGGGATCCATAGGGGTGGATTCAAGCCAAGCCGAGCTGAATACTACCAGGCTCGAGCTCAAGTTCGAGTTCGGTTYGAGCCAAAACCTTGAGCTCGAGCTTAGCTTGAGTCAAAAATTCATAAGCCTAAGCTCGAGCTAGGCTTGGCTTGAGCTTGATTTTGAGAAAAAGCATTTTATAAAAATAAAAAATTTTATATAAAAATATTTTTATTTGATATTTAAAATTTAATAATTATAATATTTTTATTATATATATATATTATTTTTTATAATTTATTATATATATATATATATTTATTTATATATTCGAGCTGGCTCGCAAGCCTCACGAGCCGAGCTCTAGTATGCTCGAGCTCGACTTGTGAAAAGCTCGGCTCGGCTCGACCCAGATCGAGCTTCGAGCCAAACTCGAACAATCTAAAGTTTATCTCGTTAGGCTCGCGAGCCTAACGAGCCTCTATATATGTATATACTTATATTATACATATTATATATATAAGTATATATACCTTTTTATAAAATTTTATTGGTAGGGACGTAGTTATACCATAGTCCCTACACATAGTATATTTACTTATTCGAGACTAGAAAGGGAGAAAATATCCCTCTTCGACTCTGTCTTCTTTGATCAGAAAATCTAAGTGGCTAAACCCTTTCTTTCTTGTTCCTTCTTCATCTTAGAGTTTTGTTCTCCTCTGCAGCTCTACTCTCATAAATCTCATTGGTCGGCGATTGACGGTCTCAAGCTCTTAGCTCTCACATAGTTATCGAAAGTGGGAGRAGCCTTCGGTCTCAGGTTCTCAGCTCTTAGAGTTTCGATGCCTCTAGTTTTGGATCTCTCTCACTCTCTTCTACAATTACAAAATACATGAAAAGCTGAAGAAAAATAGGTTTTCGGTCTCAGACACCTTCTTTTCTCTGTTTATTGAAGCAATTATCATCACTGACAAGAGAACCAATAGGTCCAAAGGATATGGCTTTGTGACTTGTGAGTTCTCTTCTTCTTCTTCTTCTTCTTCTTCTTCTTCTTCTTCTTATTTGGGATTTTTCTCTATAGACTACACAGACTACGGTTGGGAGTTGGGACTTTGAAGTTCGAACTGGGAAGGATTGATTGCATCGACAAGAACTCTACAGGCTGCAGCATTGCCCCCATTAAGGGTGAATAAACCAAAGCTTCACATTCAAGGGTAACACTTGGGAGCTTGGTTCATTATCAAGCTTGAGCCAAATCAAGCTCGAACCTATGAATTTTGTAATTGAACTGTGCTCGAGCTTATGTTTCCTATTCGAACCGAGCTCGAGCCTTGCATTTTCCTACCAAGCTGAGCTCGAATACTCAGATGTTCAGCTCAGCTTGGCTCGAATCCACCCCTACTCGGCTCGTTTAATAATCAAGCCAGTGAATTGGGCTCGAGCTCGATTGAAACCGAGCCGAGCCTTGCATTTTCCTACCAAGCTGAGCTCAAATACTCAGATGTTCGGCTCGGCCTGGCTCAAATCCACCCCTACTCGGCTCGTTTAATAATCAAGCCAGTGAATTGAACTCGAGCTCGATTGAAACCGAGCCGAGTCGAGCTCGAGCAACTCGTGAAAAGCTCAGTTCGTTGCCACCCCAAGGCATCCATTGGATGTTGAAGAAACAATCCAATGACCTCACTCTTAATTCTAAGTGTACCCAATGGTTGAATACCCAAAAAGTCTCTTTTGTTGGTTCTGTGCTTTTAAGACCATTTGATTTGAATCTATATGTAGTAATGAATCAATCGTCAGAAGACATTTTATTTTCAAGTTATGATCATTGGACAAGAGATCAGTATAATAGGGTGGTGTCACTTTGAATATAAACAATTCATTTAAACATTTAATATAGCAATGTCAATTCTAGACACAATATTACTCAAAACACTTGTTCAAGGCCTAACCAACATAAGTATCAACAAACAAGTTTGATGCCTAAACACTTGGATTGACGTATTAACATAAAGTGGTATTACCTATTTAATAGTTTGAGCCTGAAGTAGCAACGGTACCAAAAGTAACCATAGTGGCATTGAAAATCTTGTAAATATAGCCTCTATTAAGAATGAGTTCTATTCACTAGTAGAGTGCAAGTCAGGGGTGTTGCATTTCAGCAGTAATAATATAAAGAGAAAATTCCTAATTAGTACTCTGTACTTTGGGCTTAGTGCCATTTTGGCTCTTGAATTTTAAAATGCGACAATTCAATACTTGAACTTTCAAAACATGTCAATCTAGTACCTACCATTAATCAACTCGTTAACCAGCCATTAAGTGGCATTTAAAAAAATACAAATGCCCCTCGAGTATCACCTAATTTTCTTTATCAACCATCCAAACATTGATAAAAATGAATAGTCCCAAATCCTTGTCTTTTCTGTTCAATAAAGTTGGAATCACTTGAATGCTCACTGATATGTGACCCCAACTTTCTTGAAGAGAAGAGGCAGGGATTTGGGGTTGTTCATTTTTTGTCAATGTTTGGATGATTGATAAAGATAATTAAATGACACTTGAAGGGCATATGTGACTTTTCAAATGCCACTTAGCAGTTGGTCAATGGCATGTACTGGATTGACACATTTTGAAAGTTTGGGTACTTAATTGTCATGTTTTAAAGTTCAAGGACCAAAGTGGCACTAGGCCCAAAATACAAGGTACTAATCGGGAATTTTCCCTAATATAAAGAGCTCTCTTTGAAGTGAGTTTCCCTCTTGCTATCTCGCTATGTAAGCGACCTTTCCTCTCGCCTTTCTCAAGACGAATTTCCTTCTCACATCGTGATATGTGAGGTTTTTGCTCATTCTGTTTGTTTTTATGTTTGGCATAAACAACCATGTGAAAGTCTTGGGTACTTTGGATGCAATAGTTAACTACATAACGTTTTCTTTTGCGCGTTGGGCAGAGGTATCATTTCCTACAATATTTATCAAGGTTGTTGGGCTTGGTGGTGATATAGATAGATGGGGTAATGAGAATACTTCGGGATATTTTGCTATTGGTGTGGAATTCAATTTCGTTTCAAGCTATTTCCAGTATTGTTCAAGATGCTATTTTATTTGATAGACCTTGGGCATTCTCAAGATTAACGGTTCATATTGGATTGCCAGTGGTCTTAATGTCACACAATACCAATGGTTCTAATCATAGCATTATCCCATTTGATAAATGCAAAAACCAGCATTGCTCGAGGTCTCACTTTTGTTTCATGTGTTTTCTACCTAAAGGGGTTGTCAACTTTGGAACCGAGACTAGTTTTGTTTCTTTTTCCGACAACCATGAGCAATTTGATTGTTTGTCTATTGTGAAGGTTATTGAGACTAGAGCAAGAATAGAGGATGGGCATTGGTATTCTAATGGTGTTCGGTGTGGCGATATGAGATATGGTGAATGTGGTGCAATTTTTTTTCTCGGCAATCGTCAGTTTCACGGTGTTGCAACTTTGGTAGAAGTAGTAAATTTTATCGATATTTTATAAACATTTTGCGCTCCCATGCTTAAAATTAATGATGTGATTACTAAGGCATTTAAGATAGTGATTTATTTTTTGGAATATTGCCAATTTGCTTTAAAAAAATCAACTTTGGATTGGATTGGCATTTTAGTTTTATTTGTGATTAACTGAGTTGGCAACGCAATATCCAAATTGTGGAATTCATTTTTTCATTGATTAGTTGTTGTCATTGCCAAACTACATTTTTATGGCATGGGTTGCCTAGCATTACTTGGGGCTCCTTGTTTGGATTTGTGGGTGGTTTCATTCATCTTTGGATAGTGACATTTGGTTGGGAAGCACAATAAATTTTAAGTGGGCACCTCCCAAGGAAGGTTATTTATCATGTATACCCTTTGATGGTCCTCATCCACCCAATTGATTAAGTTCAAGTGTTTT